GTGATGGTTAAGGACGCTAGAATCCCACATGGTCAACCACCAAGTCCTGGCCCTGGTGGCTTGCTTTCTCACTTTCTCTCTCTCTCTCTCTCTCTCACTATGTTCCCCTCTGGTCAAGTTAAAATAAATAAATTAGTAAATCAAATTCAATAAAATAATTCTTTAAAAAAATAAAAATAATTCTTATATCCTTATTGATATTTGCTATTTGATGAAATAGTGTCATCATACCTTCCTTTCGTTTTTGTCATCATGCTTTCCTTTAGTTCTGTGGGCATACTGACAACAGCTAGCCTGAAGCCTTTCTTTTTTTGGAGAGGTTTTTGCTATAGGGCGCGTGCGCTCGCCAGAAAGACAGAGAGACATAGAGACAGAAAGTGAGAAATCACCCCCCCGGGGGGATGACCACGCCGCAATCCCTTCTCCTCCGTTCTCCTCTCGGGATCTTGGGCACGCACGCACACGCCCCCGGCGTGAGTTTAAGCCGCTGGGTCCAGGACTTGAACCATGGTCGACTACATGGGAGTCCAACGACATAGCCATTACGCTAACTGCTGGTCCCTGAAGCCTTTCTTGTTAAATGTGACCTCAGGTCACTCTCACAGGCAATTTGCATGGCCAGCTTTTTTCCCTGCCTGCATCATAGTTCCTTGTCTCTATCCACACCTCATAATTTTTTGTTGGAAAACAGGTATTTTTTTAAGAATTATTTATTCATTCATTTATTTTCATTTGGCCAGAGAAAGACAGACACACAGAGAGAAGGAAAGTGAGAGAGCAAGCCACCAGGCCCAGGACTCGAACCATGGTCAGCCATGTGGGAGTGTCCAGCGCCTTAACCACCTGCTGGCCCTGGAAAGTAGACATTTTAGATAGTACATCGTAGCAACTCTGGGGGTTGGTCCCCTCCTCTATGAGACTTATTATTATTTGCTTGCTCATTTGTTTAGTGGCTGGCTGTGTTATTTTAATGCGATGTGTTTCCTCCATAGTTTCAGGCCTATGATGTTGTTCGGCAGGGAGGACAGCTTTAGGTCTGCCCACAGGCACCCTGAGATGGCTCTCTTCTCTTTCCTAACCATGCTCAGCTGTAAACTTCACTAACTGGAACTTAAGAGAGATTTTTGCTATAGGGCACGTGCATTCGCCACATAGACAGAGAGACAGAAAGAGAAATCACCCCCCCTGGGGGAATGGCCAATCCCTTCTCCTCCATTCTCCTCCCAGGATTTTAGGCATGCATGCACACATGGCCCGTGAGTTTTACGACATCAGGTGAGAGACTCGAACCATGGTCAGCTAGGTGGGAGTCCAGCGACATAACCATTTTGTCATCTGCTAGTCCCTGTTCTATTACTTTCAACAATACCCTGGAGCATTACTTGTCCTACAAACAAATCCAACCAAACTGTGGCTATTTTAAGAATGTTTCTGAGGTCAGTGTTTGATACTTGTTCTGGTCCCAAGAGAGCTCCTCCCAGTTTTCTTATTCCCCCCTTCTTTCCTCCAAACTATACAGTCTCCTGTGGCTTCATTAAACCCAGCAATCTCTATCCAATTGCCTCTCACCAAATCCTCCACCGCTTTCACGCACATCCCTATAAATGAACTCCACACAATTTTGCAAATGAAGTCACTTCCTTTGGGAAGAGATTAGGAGCCAGCTGTTTTAAGGCCTGATTCTCTTCTCAGACAAAATCTCTGATCCAGGGGCCAACAGGTAGTATGGAGGTTAGGCACTGGATCCCACATGACTGGCTGAGTAGTTCAAGCCCGGACCTGGCGGCATGATTTTCATGCTGGGCACATGTGCATGCACGCCCAAATCCCCAAAGGGATTACAGCACAGTCATCACCCCTGGGGGTGGCCATCACCCCCCACCCCCATCTCCTGCAAGCACACGTGTCCTACAGCAAAACATATAAGCAAAATCTCTGACCCGGGGCTCTGGAAATAGGGGAAGGAACCACAGGAAGCCTCTGACTGATACTCTCCATCCTCAGAATTGAATGCTTGGTGGAAAGGAGTCGGGGGACACACTAACCTGAGGTCTCAGCTCCCTCTTCTGCTGTAGAACTACCACCTGATAAGCCAGGGTAGGGGTGAGAGCAACTGGGGCCTCCATAGTTTCAGTATGCTACGCCCAAGGTTCAACCCTGTTCCATGAGACAGGGACTGCATAGGAATGAGTGAGTCCCATCTTTCAGCTGTGCTCATTCAGGACCTAGCCTTAAGCAACAGGTAGCACTGAACAGGATGGGAAACGCAGAAGTGGGCTGCCCCTCAGCTTAGCACTGAAGAGCTGAGCAGAGGAAGCTGGATCCCACATGGTCCACCAGGGTCTGAGTCCCAGGCGCAGCAACTTGAAAAACACACTGGAGGTTCTTATGTGCCCAGGACCCTGACAGGATGGAGAACTGGAGGAAAAAGGATTGTGGTGGGAGATTTTCTGTCTATCTCTCTGTGCACACAAAGGAAGAAGAAAACAGACATGCTGACGCCCTGTTCCTGCTGGAAAGAAAGTCCTCTGACTAGTTGCTGGGAGAGAGGGAGCCCTGTGTGTCCAGCAGGCTGGGGTAGAATCTCTGCCTCAGAAAGCTGGAAGTACAGAAGGAGGGAGTGGTCTTGGCTCAAATACCATAGCTTCTTGCCCTTCTTACTGAATTGTCATAGATTTAAAAAAAATTGTTTTTTAATTTTATTTATTCATTCCTTTTATTTTCTTTCTCTTTCTTTCTTTTTTTCAGAGGCTTTTGCTATAGGGCATGTACACTCCTCAGAAAGACAAAGAGAGACAAAGAGACAGAAAGCAAGAAATCACCCCCCTACACGGGAGAGGGCCACGCCACAATCCCTTCTCCTCCATTCTCCTCTTGGGCTCTTGGGCATGCACACA